TTGAGAATGGTGCGAACGAACTTTCGGTTCAACCTAATATTTATTCGATTTTTGTTCACTCAATTGTATCTACTTAATTTCAGTCAGATCTTGATAAGCTTCCCGCCGAGAAGAGCAGACAACTTGCATTCTTGAACAATCCAGAATTGGTGCGAACAAATTCGAAACGAGTTATCCGAGAACACTATATGGAGGTTCGCCAATCAATTTTCAAATTCACTTCAGCTGACAGTTGATCACTTTGTTCTATATTTTAGGATGGTGACACAGAAGAAACGGGTATGGATTATGATGTCAGCGGTGATACTTTAGATACGCTAGATGAACTTGAAGAACAAGAATGGTGAGAATGTCAACTTATTAGTGGTAGAATCATTGAGGACTATCATTGTAGCGTAAACATCAGAGTTGAATCAAAAATCAAACAAAGAAAACCTGTGCGGTAAGCCAGAAACTCAATTATTTTTCTTTCTCTCGCATACAACAACTTTCCAATATTCGAGTTCCTATCTTGGTCAGTAAATGTCGAAAGTGCAGTTGAAAGGATTTCCTTCTTCAAAGCGCTGGCCCTGCTTTCCTAACTGTCCATTTTTTATGTGAGTAGCGTGCGCAAGAATGAGCTTATAGTGAAGCTACCTAGCTCAGTGATTATGACATGAATATTTCGAGCCTTTACTGAGCATCAAATGATTTGTATCTGATTCCATTCGGCGAGTTTGCAGAGGCTTGAGGAAAAAAGTCATAAAATCTCCTTTTTTCACGCCTCTTTTAAAAATGTACCTACAAATCTTCGGAAAAATTTTTGTGAGAAAAGGAGTAATTCACGAGTTTTTCCCACTCCACTCAAGATGACGCAAGTACACTACCATCCCTACTTCTTTAGTCACTGCATTCTGATATTTAGCGAGCTGTGTGAAATTCAAGCTTTTTTCAAACATGTCTTAACTAGAAGTGCATAATGAAAAACTGAACTTATTTGTAAGGTGTTTTGAACTCACGTCTACAACCTCTTTTCTTCACTCCCTTTGCTAACTAAAGCTATAGCTGATATCGTACTCCGCTTCCTCATCGTTCGTTGTTTTGGTCAAAAACGCGGAAGATTTTTTCGAGGGTAGTTTCTCGCGGAAGTGGTACGAAATAGCGATGTGTTTACATACGCTTACTTTTTTAGATGGACGAATTCTCAGTCTTAAGTGCATTCCTCATTTTCACATTTTGCTATGGAATGTAGCTTCTGTTGCATTGAAATGTCACTTTCAGGCGCTCACGCAACCATTCAGTGGGTCTTCGAGGACGCCGATCAGTTTCGGCTCATGCCCATCCTTCAAGTGCAGCAAAACGAAGTCGTAGCCGTTACGAAGGTGGTGCATCTGCACCTGCCAATGAGAATGAGGAAACTGTGAGTGATTCATACATTTATTAACGTCTTACTCATCATTTACAGACATGGACATAACCAACTGCCCATTTTTGGAAATTTTGCAAATTGTCTATCCATGCATATAAAGTTTTGCAGCTAAATTTGTTAAATCATGTGTAAATTTAGATTGTAAAAAAAACTAGACACTCAGTCGATCAGTTGCACTTTTGCATGCTTTAAGATCCGGTTTTTAGCGTGATTCACCGCTTCCGCCAAAGCGATCTCGAGAAACCACAGAAGAGATCACAACTACTACAACCGTGACCATTGATCCGAGCCGTAAGAAGCCATCCCAGGCAAAAGTGACTATCAGAAGAAGCATGAACAGGAGCATGTCTGCGAACGACATCCTGAATCAGGTGGAGATCACTGCTTTGTCTTTCGCTAAATCTATCTCCTACGGTTTCTATCGAAGTTATCTAAACGCAGTATGTTTAGAACTTGGAGTTGATGTAGGTTATGAGGAAGAAGGAGTCAAAATTTCTTTCTTCTCCTAATAAATTACATCAGTTAAACTAATAGATGATATGTGAGGTGGATGTCAAAAGGCTAATTGTCCAAGCTTTCAACATGTACCTCACATATCGTCTTCAGGTTTCTTGGAATGATAATGGAAAAATTTGGCTTACGCTCAGGAAGTGTATTCAAAGGCAGTGGACAGACAGAATGGACCCCCGTCGGATTTTGGTGGAGTTAAGAAGTAGTCCCCCCAAGTACACCGTAGCCCAAACCCTACCTGCCAATT